GGCCTAGACCCTTCTTCAGAAATATTTCTGAAGAAGGGTCTAGGCCCAAAACGTCAGCTTTCCTGCTCCTCTGATGCTGCTTGACCTGCTGTGTTCATCCAGCTCTACACCTTGTTATCTCATTGTTCTGGGGACCTGGGTTTGAACCCGCCACAGCAGATGGTGGAATTTCAATTCAATTAATATCTGGAATTAAGAATCTAATGATGGCCATGAATCCATTGTCAATTGTCGGGAAAAACCCATCTAGGTCACTAATGTCCTTTATGGAAGGAAACTGCCATCCTTACCTAATCTGGCCTACATGTGACTCCAGACCCAGAGCAATGTGGTTGACTCTTAACAGCCCTCTAGGCAATTAGGGATGGGCAATAAATGCTGCCTGGTCAGCGATGCCCTCATCCTGTGAATGAATAAAACAAAAAATCTCCAGACCCTAGCTCACTCTCCCACCAACCATCTGCAGGCCCCAGGCCCAGGCCTCCATCTCCAGGCTCCAATTCACCCATCCCCCTCTATCTCCAGGCCCCAGCCTTTCATCCCCCTCCATCGTCAGACCTCAGCCCAGGCCTCTGGCTCCTAAGCTTCCAGCTCCAAGCTCCAGGCCCCAGACCCCAGACCCCAAACCCCAAAAACATCAAACTCTGGCCCTGGCCATCAGCCCCAGTTCTAGCCTTGGGGCTCCAACTCCAGCTAGCTCTTTATAAAGTCAGCATCATAGATTCATAGAATCCCTACAGTGTGGAAGCAGGCCATTTGGCCCTTCGAGTCCACGCCGACCTACCAAAGAACATCCCGTCCAGACCCACCATGCCCCTACCCTATAACCCTGGATTTCCTACGGCTATGGTAAACTAAATGGGTTTTTCCCGATAGTTGTTTTGACACATCATATCGAGACTGGTTTTCATTTCCAGATCATTGAATCCCTACAGTGCAGGAGCGGGCCATTCGGCCTGTCAAGTCCACATAGACCCTCCAAAGCCCGTCCCACCCAGTCCATCCCTATCCTTATAACCCTGCATTTCCCATGGCTAATCTAGCTAGCTTGCAGATCCCTGAACACTATGGGCAATTTAGCATGGCCAATCCACCTAACCTGCATATCTTTGGACTGTGGGAGGAAACCTACACAGATACAGAGAGAATGTGCAAATTCCACACACACAATCACTCAAGGGTGGAATTGAACCCAGGTCCCTGGTGCTGTGAGACAACAATGCTACCCAGTGAGCCAATGTGCTGCCCATCACTCTTGCACTTTATGAAGTCTGAGCCACTTCAGTACTGTTTATATTCAGGAGCAGGAATCAATTTGGAAGGCACATTGTATGTTCTCCTTTATTACAAGAGGATTTGAGCGCAGCAACAAAGAAGGCTTGATGCATCCGTCGAGACCCTTTGAGTACTGTATATCTTACCTAAGAAAGGACGTACTTACCAAAGAGGCAATGCAATGAAAGTTCACCGAGCTGACCTCTAGGATGGCTGCATTGTTGAATGAGCCACAATGGTGGATACTAAGCTGAAATTCTCTAGGGTTAAGAAGCTTATAAAATTCTTACAGGGCTTGACCATGTATTTGCAAAAAAGAGAGAAGTCATTTAGGACTCAAATGAGGAGGAATTTCTTTACTCATACTAATTTCCTTCAATTCCTCATTCTCACTAGCCACTTGGATCTCTAATTCCGGCACACTACTTGTATTTTCCTCAGTGAAAACAGACACAAAGGAATCATTTAGTTTCTTTGCCATTTCTTTATTCCCCAATATAAATTCTCCTGACATGTTAATTGACTACATTCGTCCTAGCTGCACATTTCCTGTTTGCCTGTCTGAAGAAGCTTTTATTGTCTATTTTTTAAATGTTTGCTAGATTGCATTCATATTCTGTTCTTCCTTTTATTATCAGTCTTTTAATCTTCCTTTGCTGTATTCTTAAAAACATCCCAAACGTCAAATTTATTACTATTTCTGGACACTTCTTGAGCCTTTCTGTAAATTGCAGTTGACTGAACTTTTTTTGAATTTTTGCACCCTCAAAGGAATGTATAGTTGATGCAAGCCATGTAATAGTTCTTTTAAGGCTATCCATTGCTTATGTACTGTCATGTCTTTTAATGTGATTTCCCAATTCAGCTCAAGAGCTTTTATCAGATTGTGAACGTTTCAAATGTCTTTTGCCACTTGACATGCTTCTGTGAGTCTTTCTAGAAACATGGACATGTAATCCAACATTGAGGATTCATATTTCTGGTTCAAGATCGTCTCCCTAATCAGCTTTAATGACCTCTAATCTCATGACCATAAACTAGTGCAAATGGACAAAATAAATCCAGTAGATTCATTTGGGAATTCCTGGTAACAAATATTAAGAAATATAATCTTTTGCCCCATTCCATGGGTATTGTGCCTTAAGCATAGTTTTAAGAATCTAATGGTACCTTTCCAAAGCTCCCTGTGTTTGTGGACTATAAGCATTTGACTTCAATTGTGTTATATCCCATCTTAGAATCCTTACAGTGCAGACCATTGAGTCAGCTCCGACCCTCCGAAGAATATCCCATCCAGAACCACTACCCAACCCTATCCCCATAACTCCACATTTACCATGACTAGTCCACCTAACGTGAACATCTTTGGACTGTGGGAGGAACCCAGTGTACCCAGTGGAAATCCACACAGACACCGGGAGAATGTGCAAACTCCACACAGTCACCCAAGGCTAGAATCGAACCTAAGTCCCTGAGCGAACAGTGCAAATCACTGAGCCACTACGTCGCTCATTAGCTAATATTTCCTGAAAACTTTACACATACAATTAGAACCCTGATCAGACTGTATCTAAATTGGTGGTTAATAATGACTTTTAAAAAAAAACACTCTATTAATACCTTGGCTGTAATCATCCTTAAAGAAATAGCTTCTGGGTATTAGCTTGTCGTATCCATAATTGTAAGGTTATATTGATGTCCGGCTTTCAATTTCGGTAATGGTTCGACACAAGGTCTTTTCCCCGGGGTGGGGGAGTCCAAAGCTATAGGTCATAGGTTTAAGGCGAGAGGGGAAAGATTTAAAAAGGACCTAAGGGGCAGCTTTT